TTGTGTTTCATCCTCCAGGTTTTCGATACCACCACCTGTTACGTAAATACGAGAGTAGCGCGCACACAGGCACAGGCCAATTGATTTACGTCGTAATGGACTACGAGGACGAATCGCGGCCTTCTCCGAGAGGCCTTTCTACCTGGCAGCCATTCAGCAAATCATCGACTACGGACCTTCTCTCCGTTGCACGTGTATTGGATTACCCCTCGGGTAATTCGATTCGACCGTCTGACCCTCTCGATGTTGCTCTTTTCATCGTCCTTATTATCCTTTCTTTTCACTAATTTTTCTCGTCGAATTTCCACATTTTTTCCGAGACGGGTTTCTTTTTTCCACGTGAATTTCATTCGACCGAGATGAGAATAAAAACCAGGTAAAGATCCAGCTGCATACTTTATAAATCCAGTAACGAGATTTGTCCGATTTCGGTACCGATAGAGAAGAAGAGAAGTCCGTTATCGTAAATTTCGTTTTCACCTGGGTGTCATTCTCGTGTCTTCAGATTTGAATCACCGAGGGTTGGTGACACGTTTAGAACGTTGAAAGCGAGTCAAAAGTTCACGTTGAAATATCTGCAGATGGAAAAATATCGATAAGATTGAATTCTTAGTCGAAGATTGTCTTTCTGTCCTTTAATCAAAATTCCATTTCGGAAAGCAGAAGAAACGTTAGCATTTTTCTAAAGAAGATCAACAGTTTAAGTCGATTTCAAGCATCCTCAACAACTAACATTGAAATTCTAAACTTTCGACGAACGTCAATATTAAGATTACGATTCTCGGAACCAGATAAGAAAAAGCTAGTATCAGAATGAACCGAAACGGATTATACGCCCGGGAAGTAAGAAAGTACACGTACCATGAAAAAAAACAATTACGCGTCACAGATACAAGTATAATCCAGTGTTCGAGTAACGTCTAATTTCCTAAACCTTAATTCGACCAACAAGATTACACCAGCTATCCCTCTACGAAACCGTGCCAATCTCATTTACTCGAATCTACATCTCGATGAACACTTTTTACCCCCCCACACACACACACACACACACAGACACATCTAACCAGATATAACAAACAAGAAAACGACGAAAATATCAAAGAAATTCCACGTTATCCTTGGACGATCACCCGGTTAATCGGTTTAAATCTCTCGTAGCACGGGTCGAACAAGTTAAGCCGGTCGTCGTAGTTGCAACAAGATACGCGCGAATCCAACAGCGACAACAACAACAAACGTGTAACCCACCGAGCCAGGCGTTAGAGAGCCCGAGCCGGAGCCGGTCTTCTGTGCAAAAGTTTACTTTATATTCGAGCCTATGTAAATGAGAAACGATCATTCAGGCAGCGCGTTTGTAACGTCGCCTCACGAACCGATCGTGGGTGCACGTGTAAAATCGAGCAAGAAAGCACGCGCGCCCTGTTCTCGTGTTTCTTTCCAAAGGAGAGCGAGAGAGCGGGGGGTTCTTTAAGCCCCCATGCAGCGCTGTCAGGCGATAAGAAAACCGATGGCGGTTTACCGATTACCCGGCCTTACGGCTGCTAAAGCAAACGTACGTTCTTGAATGCAAATCGACACCGATGGACGAAACACGCTGCAACCGTTATCGTATCCCACCGTCCAGCCGGCAAACCAGAGGGCCCGTTGAAGAGGAAAATCCATTTACGACTCGTGCCGCACTCTTCAACCCGCGGCGACGCGTGTTCTAACCGCTTCGAGGCTCGACTTTGATCGCGCCTCCTCTTCAACCACGCGCCACAATTCCAAACACCCAACGTTGCTTCTAACCTTTCGTCGAATCTATTTTCGAGAAATCGCTGCAAACACGTTTATAACCTGAAAACCTTTCAGAAGAAAAGTACGCAGAAAATGGTCGCTACCTGGAACGTCTATTAAGCACTCTGTGTTCCATGGAAGTGTCAACACGATCGTAAAAAGAGACGGTCGTCGATGTGAAAATACAGAAGGAATCACTCACCGTCAAGATGCACTTGTGGCTCGGAGAGATGTACTCCAGTCCCCTGTGTCCCTCGCCGCTGAAGCACTTCTGTATATTGGTCATGAACTTCCTCCTGATCGCCTTCAACGAGTAGACACAGAGCGCGGAATGCTCTTTCGGTACGTCGCTGTTCGAGGAATTGCCCTCGGCGAAAACCGCGAATAACACGTCGTCCTGTGCGGTGATACCTAGATCCCCGGCGAGAACCGAGCCGGCTTTACCTACGTACGCGGCCTGCACGAGATTGTAATATATCCCGTCGTTGGTACAGTTGATCGGTATCTCCGTGTACGAGTAATAGTGCTCGTCGTCCTGGCATATCCGCACAAGCTTCGATATGTATATCGCTTTCTCCGTGTCCTTCATCTGCGTGGTCATGAAATAGCTGAAACCGCCGCTGCTGAATCCGTACACGTAGTTGATCGGATATCTCTCCCGCGACAACGAGTTCACGTACATCCTGGTACCGGTGGTGACAGCAGACTCCGCGATGTTCAACATTCGATCCTTGTCCAAGGATCTCGAGCTAACAGCCGGTACCTCCGATCGGTAAGGCGAGTTTCCGGTGTACGTCACGCCTACGTACATCACCTGAGAAACAGGAGGATTCGGTGGTCCTGGGGCGATAAACGCGACAGTCGAGGCTGTAGCATTATTGGCGACCACCGCCTCCTTCACTTCTTGCACCATATCCGAGATGTTGTGGAGATTTCGAACGCGACAAGTGCCCTGCGAAAGGCTGCCGCACGATATCAACCTGGTGGTCGTGTAGTCGATCACCAACGCCTTGTTCACGTTGTCGACCAGCCGCGTCGGTGTCTCGCGGGGACAGTCGATCATCGAGCAAGCGGTCGAGTCGCCTTTCGGACCGGTCACCTCTTTCACCACGAGACTGAGGTCCGGCGAGAGCTGATAAAGCCGGTTCACCGCGCCCACGTAAACACGGCCAGTGTTCTTATCCACGACCAGATGGTTCATGCGCTTCACCTCCGGGTCGTGGAACCTTTGTACTATGTCGGCCGAGGTGGAACGAACCGGTAGCTGAGGAGACAACAGCACCAGGATCGACAGGAGCAGACGAAGTTGCTGTTGATGCGACAGCATCGATCCCATCCTCGTCGATGCCTCGCCGTAACCCGGGAAGACTAGCATCTTACTACTCTACGTCCTAACGCTACGCGACAACACGATCTGTCGCGGATTCCTCCTCCACCTTCGCCTGATGCTTCTCGGTGCGCCCGGGGATCCTCGCGGAGGCGTCTTCCTCGAGCCTCGCCCAGACCTGTACATACAGAATTAGAGAACGGTTATTATCCTTGGTTCTTAAATTTCCCGCCTTAATTTCGCGGACCGACGATGGCTTATTTTTGTGTTACATGCGGAACACCGCGAGTTTCTCTTTTGTCTTTATATCAGAATAAAGTATCGAAAACTTTGATCAAATATATAGTACTAAAAGTTCCACGATTATTTTCAAAAGTGAGTTTTATAAGTGCGTTATTTTAGCGATCCTTTTTTACTTTATTAGTGCCACAGGGACCTAATTAATAAATAACAAAGTCATAAAATAAGTTATGGGTCGGTCTGGCTCTCAGGTACAGAACTATAGTATTGTAAGTATTTAATTGAGATAAATTTCAAAAAAAAATCGAACGTATAATTTATTTCGTGTTGCATCGGACACATTTTTTGCGACATACTCGAAAATTGAACGGTTAAACGTGATTAATATCGTGAGAAGGGACGAGCGTAGCGAAAGGGTTAAAGTGGAAAGGGAGAGTTTCGGTATTCGGTTCCCCGTTTGCAGCATACGAGAATGAAACCGTTATACTACCACCGGTGATCGGAAATTTGCATTTTATGGAGCCGCGTGAAATGGAGCGTGGAGCTCGTTTCTTAACTTTACACGCGAGAAAGATGAAGAAAACGGACTGCGCCTGTGTGGTATTAATTTTCACCGGTCGGATCGGACGCAAACTTTGCGGAATTTCTCCCTCGTTATCGCGTAAATTCGCGGCTGAAACGATCTCGCGTATCCACCTAGACGGAATAATGACTTTCTAGTCGTTCGAAACGTTTCCTCGATATAAAGAGAGGGACCCCGATTCGAACGAAGGGGAGTTTCGAATGACACGTTGTAAAGTGAAAACGTGTACAGTATAAACTGAAATCGGCGACGAGTGTGAATAAAGGCGTATTTAACGAGTGACTTGGTCTTGAATCGAAAGAAACACCAGCATTTTCGCGAACGCCGGTAAGACTGAAGTTTTAGCGTGACTGTACAGCTGTTTTACATTAATCGCGACTTAACACCATAACCAACGACACGAAACACCCTCAGCCTTAGAATAATTGCTCCGATTATCTCTTCGAAACTCAGGGTGAATCAACTCGTGGAGTGCTGCACGCGAAGACAGTTTCCCCCGTGAACTTCCAACGAAACAATCCAACCAACGATAACATCTAACACCTGAAGATCGCCACGTGTTAAAATTCAAAAGAAAAATGACTCGTAAGGCAGAAAGAAGGCAGATATGCGTCGTTGGCATTCTCACCCATTTCCATCTGTCTCGAAGTAAATTTACAAAACGCTCTAAACGGTTCGATTTCTCTCGAGAAGTGCCGTAACAGATGTGTCACGAATGAAATCAAATTTCCTGAAAAAATATTCGTCAGTTATAGCAGTCATATCCCAGCGTAACGCGACTGAAAGAAACAGACGCGAAATCACCCCGTAATCGTGCCAACTGCGACTTCAAACGTCCCTACGCGAGTGCGTTAAGGATGAACGAGGATTTTCGTCACGGTTCTAACCAAGGATGAAAGCGTGCAGAAAATAATCCGGCTGCAATTCAGAAGGGACGTGTTATCCGTGATAATTACTCGAGCACGCGATCAGAAAGGGCCTGGTCGTTCGAAAGTTCACGCAGGACTTCCTAAAAGTCACTGAACGGGAAAGAAAGCCACGTAGAGAGGTGAGAACGTAGAGAAGTAGAGGGGCAGAAGAAGCAGCAGCAGCAGGCTGGCAGAGAGAACCGCGACGGAGACCGAACAAGAACCGAAGGGGAGGGTCTCTCCTCTCTCTGACAATTTATCGACTAGGGAAACCAGGTGCCTTTGAATCGGAACCCCAACACGCACACACCACTCCTCTTAACGAAATGAAACGCACGACTTTGTGCAGGACGCGCGGAAATACGTGTGAAAGGGGGAAAAAATTCCTCGAATAGGAGGATAGCAGAGCGGAGAGAGAAGAGAGAGAGTGTGCGGCGACGTTGGATGCAGAGGACCGGGTTGAAGAAGAAAAAGGTGTTTCTTCTTCGTGCACGTTCCTCCTTATATCGCCAAGTAACGTTCAATCGTAACAAAAACTTTCCTCATTTCCCGAACACCCATCACACAACACCCTGTCGAGCCTCCCCTTCGACGCTCTGCAACACGTCAATTCCAGTTTACCTTCGTCCTCTCCTTTCTTTTCTTTCTTTCTTCGCGCACACGTGAAGTACACCGTATCTTGTAATTGTAATTTATGACGTGTGTAAGGATAATTTGTGTTTTGGCTGGAAAGGTAGTGTCGAGGAAGTTGTCGGAGAGATATATCGCGTGCTATAAATTCACGAGTGATAATGCTGATTTCCTAGGGGCATCTGTGTTTCGAGAATAAACGCATCCATTGATTGACGAGTGACGCGAATCGTGGACTCTACGGTGCCTCATGCCGTAGGGAGAGATAAGCAGGATACGATGTTTGGAATACGCTCTGTAAATATGACATCTTGCGATTTTTTATGCAGTTGCAGATGTGGATGTGAGGTGGTATTGAAAGTGACTTCCTGTCTTGAGATATCGAGAACCTTGTAGATTATTGCCGAGATATGGCGAAGATGGATGTTGTTTGTGACAATTGCAACTGATAAATTATAAACTGCTCTCTCCTTGTCCGAATTTTCGAACATTTCGAAATTTTCCAATTTTCATGTAAGAATAAACAAATTACACAGTAACTAAAGCCCCGTGCAAACACCTTGAAAAATAGAAAACTGCTAAACAGAACAGTTCAGCTAAGGAGGTCAGTGTTGCTTTTCTAATAAACAAAAATAATTCAACTTCCTCCACACCTCGATCGCATCTTTTCCAAAAAAGAAAAAGAAGAAAAAAAAACAATGAAACACGCATTGTTACAAGCTTCCACACGACCTCGCGATTCTTTCCTTCGTCGAGAGATGAGAGGAACGCGACTCGTACGAAGAAACACGCAACGATCGAAAGGGGGAGCGTGGAATCACGGCGGGTAACCGACAAGCAGATAAGTATCGAGATATCCAAGAACGCGCGATTCCACGTAGAAGGAAAGCCAGCCACGGTTCTGTGCCAGGTATGCGTGTGTTCCTCACGCTCGTGCACGCGAGATAGATCAAGAGGAAAGATGGTGGTTCGCGTTCTGGAGACGCGCTCTTCCCTCCTCCCGCTATCTGATGGGCGCACGCGTGCCTTTCCTCGCGAATTCCCATTGTACCGCAGGTTGACACACACGCACGCACCCAGTATGTAGGTTAAAACCGTAATTAACGGGCCGTCTTAATTGCCGACAGTTTACACCGGGGTATTACCGATCTAAACCCGAGACGTCGCGACAGAAGGACGCTACTACACCACCGCAGGGGCCACCTATCTCTCCGACCTGGGAAAATCAAACAACCGTGAAACGACACTTTAATTAGCGTGTTTACCAGAGAACTGACCGGCAATGGGACAGAAAAGTTTCGCGGATTAAGCCGGAAACTGAGCGGGAAACGAAGAGACGCGGCTAGCTCGATTCCAACGGTAAATTTCTCTGTCTTCCTTCCCTGATTCGCTCGATTCCTAGGGACGCGGTGATTAGAGGGAAAATTGCCGGGGCAATCGCTTTTCGTAAACATTGTTAGAGTTGCGTATTGGGTCTCGTTGAAGACACTTGTTAAATCTTAGATCTTGTAATTTGAAGTGTCTTAATTGGCGCCAAATACGAACTTCAAATTAATAGGAAGAAACTGACAAATTTTCAGCGGAATTAGAAGAAGATTAGAAATCAGATATTTCTGTCTACCAGCGAACAAAATTTGGTCTTTACCATACGATAGTACGAAACAGAATTTTTTACAGAAAACATAAAATTTTTATCACAATTACCGATAGTGGAGGGAAATTTCTCTTTCTCAAATTAAAAAATTCACTTCCTAAACTTCCTCAACTTCCCTACTCCTAAAGCTTCGTTGAACTTTCGATCCCTAAAAAGAAAACAACCCCCAAAAATTTCACTCTGTTGTAACAACGCGAGGTAAAGAAGAAATTGAACTTTTCGAATGTTTCATCTGGAGCCTGTTCGGACAAACGTCGGTGCATTAACGAGGAGAAGAATTTCCAGCGATTAACAGCGTCCACCCGGAAGCACAAAGAGGGACAGAGAGGAGAGCACGGTAGATTCGATGTGTATATCCACTAGACGATACGGTCGATCCGAACACGCCAAGTAATTTCTGCACGGTGCGCACCGAAAGCCTCCGGCAGAAATGGCCGCGCGTTAATTTTAATTACAAAGTGCGCGCTTTAATATGCACATTTATTTTAATGGAAAACCGACGGGGCTTCCGTGCGATGCACTCGATAGCACTTCCTACGTTCCTGCCCATATTTCATCATTTTCCACGGAAACACCACGGCGGAAGAAGAGCCGAGAGGGGTTACTTTTATTTACTTCGCCTCTTGTTGTACAGGGTACTATTCGTTGCGGTGGTTTCCCTCGTCGTTTTACCAACGCCGACACTGTTCCGTTGGAAACATCGGTGACCCACTATTCCCATAGAATGCGTGCGCGAAACGTGCAACTTTTTAAGAAGCTTTCACATAGGTTTCAAGACGTTACTAGAAGTACTGTACAGAGAGTTTCACGGGGGATCTCTGGATATAGAACGTAGGGGAAAAGTCGCGTCCAAGTATCGGGAAATGAATAAAAATACCAATAATTGTGTATTCACGGTAGATCGAGACTCGTCGAGTAATATCGAAGTTTCGCAAATTCACCGTGATAAGCAGAGTTCGAATAAATTTTTCTTCCCTTGCTTTTTCTTTTTTTTTTTTCATTTTCTTTTAACGGATATTGAAAATGTTTCCCG